CTTTCCGTTTGCTTCGGATGTGGGAGCCTAACTCCAAGCCTCCCTTGTAATGATGGCTATGGCGCTTCGAAGCCCCTCGAGAAGTGCAAACATCGCGTCGGTTCGATCGCCATGCTGACGTGGTCTTTCATTTAAACGGACGAATCTGGGCCATTAGATCGTGTCTCTTCAGCTTCCTGCCTTCTCCCCAACCGTCGGATTGAATCCCTCTGTTTCTGCCGTTGGATGTATACTTACCTCATCGGACGGCTGGGGGTCGAGGGCTTTCGTGCTTGTTCTAAATCATCTCGAAACTAGTGGGGGTGCTAGAACCTGGTTTTAGTGTTTTTCGCTTTGTTCTAAACTGGCCATGAGAGTTTCGAGTGGACCTAGATTCTTATTTGGCTTTCTGGGTTTATTTGAATTGTCGACACTGTGTTTAAATCGTCGTCGTCTAGTTCTTGTTTAGGTTAGGATCATCGTTGTCTATTTGAACTTTCGTCGTTTTAGCCTTAACTTTTACTCGACTAAGCTTTTTTTTTTTTTTTACAACTTTAGGCGCCGAACAAATTTCCTCTCCCCTCTCGACTTATAGAATATTGACTTTAGATTTTTCCTTCACAGTAATGACACCTAGAAGAATTAAACGTCGAGGGGGATCATCGTCCGTGCCTCTTGTGAGGCCGGATCATTCTCCAGCCGTCGAGTCTTCCTCCCTCTCTACCAACATCGATCCAATTTTAAGGGTGATCGGGGACTATATCCCTGACCCTCGGGACGATGAGGACAGCGTCGACCGCCTGGTCGAAGGCGAGCCAGACGAGGGGGAGTCTTCCACGTCTAACGCCTCCGACTCCTTGGTCGGCGGTGTTATCTATGGCTATAGTGGACGACACTTTGGTGTCCCCGTGGCATCAGTAGGGGCAGATAAGGAGCAGCCATCCTTCACAGCCGACTTCATGGTGCCGAAGACACGGCAGAGAGACATCGTCCGTGCGTACAAGGAGGGACGCGTGGATGGCCGATGGTTCGAGTACCTATTCCCGGACCCCAACTTCAGGGCAAGCCTACCGTCCCCGGGGTATCTATCTGTCTATACCCGGGCCTTCACGGCGGGGATGATACTTCTCATCCACCCGTTCGTGAAGGACCTCTGTGAACTTCATGGCATCTCCCCCACATAGTTGGCCCTAAATTTTTGGTATATCTTCTCTGGCATGTAAGTTTTTTGGGACCAAAGGTTTGACGTGGATCTGCCTTTAGACGAATTTCTTTTTGTATATAAACTTTGCCAGGTCCCTAAGTGCGATGGCTGGTATTTTTTGGATAGTTACGGGCGATCCAAGCCCGTTTTAGGAAAACTAATAAAGAGGTTGCCCTCGACGTCCCATGCCTGGAAGCCAATGTTTTTCATGGTCAAGGGTATGTTCGACGTTCACCTGGCTGATAAACCTTTTAAGCGCCTAGGCGTGCAGACATCTTTCAGGACGTTGAATAAGTATCCTCGGCCGCATATTATACAGCTAACATCATGTTTTTACACCGTTGACCTCATATCTTTCTGCGCAGTTCCCCAGGACCGCCCTTAACTTTTTGGGAATCGGCTAGTAAAGGTGACGAAAGTCTTCAGCTTCCCAGAAAGGGATCGTCATATCAACGCTCTGTTGACGCGGGAGAATCTAAGAAGCTCCGGCCTTCTGCATTCGCTCCCTGACCCTGCAAACACCAACGCGGTCAAGGACTTATTCTATTTTACAGCTGGAGGTTAGTGTCTTCCCCTTGCACTTGATTCATTCTCATCTGTCGTCTGTCTAATTACTTGACTTTGATTGTGATGCAGAGATGAAGACCTTGCAGCTGCGAGTTCCGGGCGACAAGGGGTGCTCAAAGAAACAGAGGCCTCGCGAGAGATCGAGTGAAACCGCCGAGGCCTCAACCTGCGGCGGAGCCTACGATAACTCAGGAAACACCGAGGCCCAAGAGGCCTCGCCCGGCTGAAACGCCAGGGGTGGAGGCTGAGCCAGCGCCGATTATTGATATAACTGATGCTCCTGAGGCTTCCCCGCCCAGGGAACGCCTGTTGCTTCATGGGATAAGGGTTCTGGATCCGCAGTTCATCGTCCCTGATGTCCCCCCGGCTCAGATTGAGGCGACTCCACTGGGGAACTACGCAGAAAGATATGAGGTCAGCGGTGTAAAAGCATGATGTCAGCTGTATAATATGCAGTCGAGGATACTTATTCAACGTCCCAAAAGATGTCTGCACCCCTAGGCGCTTAAAAGGTTTATCAACCGGGTGGACGTCGAACATACCCTTGACCATGAAAAACATTGGCTTCCAGGCATGGGACGACAAGGGCAACCCCTTTATTAGTTTTCCTAAAACGGGCTTGGATTGCCCGTAACTACCTAAAAAATACCAGTTGTCGCACTTAGGGACCTGGCAAAGTTTATATACAAAAAGAAATTCGTCCAAAGACAGATCCACGTGAAACCTTTGGTCCCAAAGAACCCACATGCCGGCGAAGATATATCAAAAATTTGGGGCCAGCTGTGTGGGCGAGATCCCGTGGAGTTCGCAGAGGCCCTTCACGAACGAATGGATGGGAAGTGTCATCCCCGCCGTGTAGGCCCGGGTATAGACAGATAGATACCCCGGGGCCGGTAGGGTTGCCCTGAAGTTGGGGTCCGGGAGGAGGTACTCGAACCATCGACCATCCACGCGTCGCTCCTTGTATGCATGGACGATGTCTCTCTGCCGTGTCTTCGGCACCATGAAGTCGGCTGTGAAAGACGGCCGCTCCTCATCCGCCCCCGTTGATGCCACGGGGACACACCAAAGTGTCGTCCGCTGTAGCCAGAGATAACACCGCTGACTAAGGAGTCGGAGGCTCTAGACATGGAAGGCTCCCCCTTTTTTGGCTCGCCTTTGACCAGGTGGTCGATGCTGTCCTCATCATCTCGAGGGTCAGAGATATAGTCCTCGACCTCCTTCAAAATCGAATCCTAGTTGGTAGAGAGGGAGGAAGACTCGACAGCTAGAGAAGGATCCGGCCTCACAAGAGGCACGGACGATGATCTCCCTCGACGTTTAATCCTTCTAGGTGCATTACTGTGAATGAAAAATCTAAGGTCAATTTCCTATAAGTCGAGAGGGGAGAGGAAATTAGTTTGGCGCCTAAAGTTGTAAAAAAAAAAAAAGCTTAGTCGAGTAAAAGTTAAGGCTAAAACGACGACAGTTCAAATAGGCAACGATGATCATAACCTAAACATGAACTAGATGACGACGATTCAAACACAGCGTCGACAATTCAAATAAACCCAGAGAGTCAAATAAGAATCCAGACCCACTCGAAACTTTCACGACCAGTTCAGAACATAGCGAAAAACATCAAAATCAGGTTCTAGCACCCCTATTACGCCATTTTTCAACCATTCCCCCCCTCTCAAGAAATTCACTGCAAGTTCAAACAAAAGAATAAACATACAGACATCAAAATAGGGAGGATGAATGCTTACCAGAAAATCAGGAGCGAGAGAAGCGCAAGAACTGAGGTGAACTTCGCCAAAGATTCGCGGGTTTGCAAGAGGAGAGTATGAAGAACGGTCCTGGAGAAATTTTGGCAGAATTTCGTCTTAGTTTCTAGATGATTTGGAACAAGCATGAAGAGATTACTTATAGTAACGGAAAGCCGTCGACCCCCAGCCGTTCGATGAGGTAAGTATACATCCAACGGTGGAAACAGAGGGACTCAATCCGACGGGGAGAAGACGGGAAGCTGAAGAGACACGATCCAACAGCCAAGATTCGTCCGTTTAAATGAAAGACCACGTTAGCATGGCGATCGAACCTACGCGACGTTTGCACTTCTCGAGGGCTTCAAAGCGCCAGAGCCATCATTACAAGGGAGGCTCGGAGTTAGGCTCCCACACCCAAAGCAAACGGAAAGGCCAGAGCAAATCCCAACCTAGCTCAAGGCAGTCTGAAGAAAAGTCTCGACCTGGTGGGTAGCTGTTGTGTGGGAAAATAAAATATGCGTTGACACGTCGGATGACGACCATGCTCCACGTGGCCCAAATCCCGCCACTTCAGGTAGCCATTGACGCCTAGAGCTCATTTTCTCCGCCGCCATCTGATGAAAAGGCCGACCGTATGGGACGATTCATACAACCGTCGACACTAGATACAGTCAAGGCCTGCATGATGTGCAGCAAAAGCGGCGCCATGAGGAGGTCGACCAAAGCAAAGGTCGCACCCTGTGAAGTATAGTGTAGGCGCAGAGGGCAGACCGTATGAATATGGGTCCGCGTCCCGAGAAAGGCCTCTGAGGGGACAAGGGGAAATCCCTAGGTTACGTTTAGGTTTGGAGAATGTCAGTAGCACAGGAATGATTACTTGCTCATAAACTGCCTAGAATGGACCAATGAAAAATCATAGAGGATCCGCAGAGCCGCATTAGTGGACAAAGTGGGTGTGTGAACAGTCTAAAAGGTGCTGAGAAACTACAGTCTAGGCAGGTAGGATAATAGGCTACTTGAGAGAAACTATCAGAAAAACCCCTTATGACAGTCCGCCCCAAAGGGATCCATATGCAGTTTGTAAGCTATAAAAAGGGCAAGGCCCTAGAGAGTTTTTTTTTGTAATCTTAAAAGCACAAAAGAAGAAATACAAAGAACCAGTGGATGTAGTTCTTTTTTATAGAGTGAACCACTATAAATTCGTGTGCCTCTTTACTTCCGTTCTAACAACAAATCAATACATCTTACAATGTGCCTCAAAAACAAAAACACAGTCAGTGGCATAAATCCAAATATATAACAAGTTTTGGCCGGTAACCCAACGGACCACCGAGAGGTAATTTGGCGTAATCTTGTTGACGAAATTCCACCGTCAACAGCACTGTTAAACCTTTTTCTTATTTCATGTATTCTCTCGGATCTAGGCTTTTGTTACTTTTCTGAATTTTTAGGTTATTTGCTTCAAACCTTCCTTATGTGTATTGTGAATTGATCTGTTACAGGCATCCCAGCATGCAATATTTCTTTTTGCCAGGCTCCCTCAGATATGGAAAAACTTTTCTGTAAGTTGTTTTTTTCTTTTTTTAATTATGAGTGAAACTTTTCCTTATGTTGAAATATTTTGAATTTGTTACCTTATTAAACTGGAGGTCGTTGTTAATCAACTTTTAATATAATTATTAGTGCATTTCTGCCATTCAATTATTGCAACTATTTAGTCAATTTTGGTATGGAATCACTTCTGTTGAGATTATGGATTCTGTACCCCCCCTTGTCTTTTTTATAGTGTTCACAGTGAATAATTATCTTCTGGACAGAATAAAAGTACAGGAGAGCTCAGCTTCTTGACGTGTTTAATGAATTTTGGAGGCTCCTCGGGTGAGTTAAACTTGTTAATGCAACTTAAGGTAGTAGTGTGAAGGGGAAAAAAATAAGTTTATTTTAATTCTTTATCTTGCAGTGAGAGTTTTTACCAGCCTCCAGGAAAAAGCACCACAAAGCGGTATCCTTATCTCTTTATTGTTGTTATAGTCGTTTATATTCAATCTTCATTTCATGTGTTCTTATGACACCTCTTTGGAAAAGAAAGGTGATCATTTGCTTATTAGAAATTAGAAAGCTGTTGTTCTAAGTGTAAGCTAAGCAGCATATCACTTCTCTCTGCCAATATGTGTGTGTGTGTACTAGCACTATTATAGTGGTATAATATTGAACGGGGAAAAAATTGAGGAAAAAAGAAGAGGAACTAGATCAATGTGTGTTTATTGCTTATAATAAGTAGCGATTGTTTGTTTTAGAGCATTCTAGAAAGTAGAACCTCTTCTTGTCGTTAGTTTATTTGTCTTATTTCTCTTGTTCTTGATTCACGCTGGTTTATAGGTGCTTTTTCTTTTTCTTTTTGACATACAAGATGCTCTTCTTAGGTACCATCTAGCATTCAAATTTCAAGTTAAAATAAATTATTCACGTCTTCTTGTGCCATAGTGTATGATCTTTAGCATTTACTGATTCTAGGCTATAGATTCTATGCACACAATGTGCGCTGTTTTGCTACTGGACAATTTTGTTTATTTCAGATAATCTATCCAGTATGCATGTTTATGTTTTACGTGCTATAATTCAAAAACTTGCTATCCTTAATTATTTTCCTTAGTTGTCTTGGGCTCAGTAATTGGTATGGCTACGAATGGTAGCCTTCTGAGTCAGATAATCATCTTCAGAAACAAAAAGCCAGAAGCTGGAAAAGAGAAGAAGAGGGAGTAAGAAGAATGGGGTATATGTTATACGCAAAGGTACCAGAATCGCGGTTAGGGAGCTAGCGTTGGAAGTCCTATTGTTGCTTAACGGGGACTTATGTCATCCTCAAAACTACTCTTCTATGCTTTTAGTTTCATTCAAGACAGAACAAGTTGCTTATTCAAAAAAGAAAGGAAAAAAAAAAAAAGACAGAACAGGTTGCAACAGAGGTTGTTAATGAGACCTTAGTTTTAGTCACTAATAAGTAGAATGGAATAGGCTACAGTTATCTATCATTTGTTTCCTGGCACGTTGGAGATTTCTTATAGTGAAGTTTTAGTCGAAGCTAACTGCATATCTACTTTTCTTGTTTTTACTGGAAATTGTCTTTCTTTTGGGTCCCACTGAAATTATTAGATGTTACCATGCTTGTATGGTTTTGATATTTTCGAGTGGATATTTACATGATTGTTGCTCAGTGATGGGACTGGTTCTTGATGCAAGGGCTATGGAATACTTCTTTGAGCCTTTTCAGCTTTGTGTCGTTGTAGGGGAGAAAACCAGACATTGGGTAACGTTGAAGTTACGGAGTGAAAATTCATTAAAAATGCAGTTATTTGGGTGGTTGAAAATTGGCTAAAAAACCAATTTGAAAAAAGAAAAAATTTGCAGATTGATGCGATATTGCCTGCCCTATGTTAGGACTAATAGCAAAGTATGAAAAGTGTTAATACTTGACACTGTCAAATAAGATGGTACAATTCTAAATCGGCCTAGATTCACTCGTTGTTAAGAGTATCGACCAAAACCCTTCCATTTTGTGCCATTTTTATCATGATACTGGGCAATGCACTCCATATATTGAGAAAATGAGACCACAATGTCCTCACTAACGATCTTCAACTCCAACATATGTATGAGGAACTCCCAAGATATCATGTAGCCAACAGATGAGAGAGATGGACCGCATCGGAATGCGGATGGAGCAATTAGACCATGTGATAATTTCGGTATAAAGTGCATCAAAATCATGAGAGCCAGCGGCAGGAAAAATCATAATACTACTGTGCCTGTTATGATTGCCCAGAACTCAACAAATTAAAGGCTCGAGTAACCAACAAGGATCATAAAAGGACCGTAGTAATCAAATCGAAAATATTCACAGGTTTGATGCCATGCCACATAAATGTTGTCTCATCGATGAGCTTCCACGTGTGTGTGCATGTACGTATGTGTCTAAGAAGAATACAAGAAACAAGTAATAAATTATCACAGGGATGCAAGACAATTTGAAAAATAAAATTATGGCAATGATTAAATGAAACATTGAAGGCACCACCAAATAGCAATTAAATACCAATAAATGATATCTACTATACTCAATGTCAAATTTAGCATAAAACATAATTTTGTGTTCAACATAATTTTGTGTTATACATAATTGTGTTAGACTATTTTTATTGCAAATGTTAATATTAATGATATATTTAACATAAAAAAGTAAAGGATATATTTGATATATTATTTTATACCGTGCTTTTCTGTACATCAATTTTTTGTCATGAATATTAAGCTTTAGAATTTGAAAAACTAAACTTTTAATTTTAAAAATAATTATAAATGACAATATTGTACTAATTAAAAAAAACAAAGTCGTAAGTCAAGAACTAATAGCAATCAAATACTAAAAATTTGACGTATGCCGTAGTTGATGGCACCAAATATAACATATGCAGGAAAAAAGAAAGGCATTATATTCGAAATTGATTTTCCAACTCAAAAAGCCTCTAAATTCCATGCGCATACATTGCTATTGAAAACTGAAGATCAAAGAAGTTAGAAACACTCGACTCTAGAGACTAGAAAAGGTTAAGGTGATTCAGTATCTGCTGATCATTTAGTATTCAGGATATCAGCCAAGGCCAACATATTTCATGCAATGACATGTTCGAAACTCGATTCACCGACAACCGTATTTCCACACCACCAAATCCAGCTTCTCAGGCAGTAACTGGACAAGATAATGGGTTTCTCACCAATTAAACAAGACTAAAAATCTAAAAGCCAGAAATCATAGCAGGTCTTACAAGTAATGAAAATCTACGCCAATTTGGCATCGAGAAAGTAGCTAGCAATAAATTTTTCACATGCTAGGAAACAATTATAATGGCTGGGTCCTTGGCATGTACAAACAAAACCATTCACAAAGCAAGGAAGCCTAATATTCACGCGATCAAAAGTGGAGAAATTCAAATGTTTTAAAAGTATACACTGATAACTATTTCAAATGCTGTGATCAAACGGTGCTAAAAAAGTAAGCTTTGACAACAAACAAATGAACAAACAAAAGCCAACAAAACTTTGTGAAAGAAGGTGTCATCTCTTTCAACTTGAAGATTCAATTCAAAAGGCAATAAACAGCACACGGCATCAAATTTTAAGTACACAAAAAGTCAGAATCAAAACAATACATCACATAAACAATGACCAAGACTAGGATTTTTTTTGGATTCTCTTCCTTTTTGTTTTGCAACTGCTGTTTTGAGTTCAACAAATTACCCACGAGAAGTGCTGCTGCTATTACCTCCCGACCACCTTCTCAAGGTGCAGGCAACTATACTCCTTCCAGACAAAAGCCCTAACCTTGACTTGAACGACATTGATCGTCCTGTACTACTCGTCCCAATATTCACAGCCGGTACTTGTGCCGGCACTGCTTCCGGGGCACGAGGTTCGGCTCCGTTTTCTTGTGCCCCACCGTCGCTGGCGCTTGCATCTTGATGTTCAGGTTCACCAGTATCCAAATTCACAGCCAATAAAGGCCTGCTCGCTCTCAACCAATCCGCGCCATCGGGGGTTACTCCTCGGCACTTCTTGACCTTCACTTTCACCAAATTGGGACACCCACTCGCCAGAGCTTCTAGCCCATTATCGGAGACCGGGCAGCTCTTGATGCAGAGCTTCTTCAATGCTATGCATTTCCCCGCAATGCACGAAATCTCGGCATCGCCAACGGTATCGCTTCCGCACAATGCCAACCTCTCTAAATTAAGGCAATTCGAGGCTAGCATTTCAAGACTTACTTTTGTAGGATTGACGCCGATCAGAACCAGTTCCTGAAGATTAGGGCAAGACTTGGCAATCGCAACCAATCCTTCGTCGCCGATGCGATTAGCCTTCCACCCGTCAATGTGAAGCTTCCTCAAGAGCTTACAGCGTTCCGCGACCGATACAAGCCCTAGATTGGTGCACTCTGGGGTCTTGACAAGATGCAGAATTTCCAGATCCAATGAATTTGAGATCGCAGCGAGGCCGAGGTCGCTCACTTGAAGCCTCTCCAGATGAATCTCGACCATTCCCGTGACTCGGTCGGCTATCATTTGAAGAAGCTTATCCCAATCGCCCGAGCACCGGAAAAGCTTCAATGTCCTCAATTTATTTGCGCCGATAATTAGGGGTCCGAAGCACTGTCCATTGTAGAGCTCCTTCAAGCAAATCGTTTTCAGAGAGGCGGCCGCCACGCCGGGCCCAATCGGTTCCACCGCGGCCACATCGGTTATTCCGCGCAGCCTCTTCACTGATAACTCCTCGAGAGACGAGCAATTATCCAACACCGCGTTCATGCCTTTGGCTCCAAAAGTGCAGGATCCGCAAGAGAGCTTCTTCAAACCCTTGCAGTTCTTCGCGAAGGCCGCCATACCGGCGTCCGTCAGTTCGCGGCAGGCGCGGAGCTTGAGGCGCGTGAGGTTCTGGCACCGGAGAGAGATGAGGACGAGCGCGTCGTCACCGATGCTCACGGATCTACGGTCGCACTTCAGCGCGAGCTTCCTAACCGCGTCGAATCGGGAGAAGAGGGAAGGGATCATGGGGAAAAGATCCGATTGGGCGTTGAGAGAAAGACGGTGACGGCTCTGTCCCTCGACCTTCAGCCATCGCCGGCATACTAGCGAGCATCGCTTCCGGTCGCCGGAGCTCAGGGACTGAAAAACGAAAGCCAAGCACTCGTCGGGAAGATCGGAGATGTAGTCGGAGACACCGTTGGTGGTGCTTACCTGCGGCGCATCTGTTTCGTCGCCTTGCATCGGGGAGATCAGGGCCGTTGATTTGGCCTTCAATCGATGGTTGTGACTGCTTTCACGGCTGCTCGGGACGGCGGCCGTCGAAGCTGACTGGCCCATCCACGACGACGTTTGAACGGACTGTTAAACTTCGCCACCTCAGCTTTCTTACCCTGGGAACCGCCGCACTGGACGAGAGCTTTGAGAGCCACTCAGAAAACCTTCCCGCAAGACTCCCTCGTGTTTCACCGAAAATTTTCAGAGACCGGACTTCAAATCTTAATACATTTTGGCTTTTTGTAGAATTTTAAAGTACCATCTTAGAAAAAAAAAAATATATATATAGCCTAGATTTTTTAACGGCTTGATTTGTTCCTAGCATCATGGTTTAAAGGTGTGTTTGGAGGATTGCTTCTAAACTCCCAAAACACTTTACACAATAAATGATATAATTATAATGTTTAGTAAAGAATGATACATAAAAGCATTTTGCACATAAATTAATGTATTTTTTAAGTTATTTTAAGAAATTATAATGTATAGCTTTTAAAATTTATTTTTACTTTTACTTTAAATAAAAGTAGTACTTTTATTAAAAACACAATAATTATTTTAAAAGTACAACAATCTCAAACTGACTCTAAGATTAAAAAGTAAAAATGCTATTCGAAATTAAGTAAAGGCTTTGTTTGGTTTTTGGTTCAAATTGTATTATTTTTAGATTGTAGAATTTAAATTGCGATTCGAACTGAATTGTATTTGAATAGTATTGAAAACTATCATTAAAATTTTGTAATGAATCTTATAAAACCTCATCATGAAATGACATATTTAAATACACAATAAAGATGAGGATTTATTCCCCTCTTCATTATGCAAATTAAAAAAATAGATATATCTTTATCAGAATTGAAATTAATAAGTTAAGACTTTTTCAGTTCGAAGTTAAAGAGTTAGAAAAAATAAAAAACAAATTGTTTTCAACTGTAGACAACAATTGAGATTATTAAATTTAAGGGGAGCTCAATCCTAAAATTAAGGATTCAAATTGAGATTAATGGTGTGAATGATTCGCATTTAATTCTCGACCAAATATCAATTTAAATCTTACACTATCATTGGAATGGAATCTTTAAATTCAAATTGTTGAAACAAACTTGAGGAAAGAATACTTAAGCGATAGGGATTTTTATTAATACTATAAATTTTTAATTATTAGATTTAATCAAAATTACATAAAGAAAAGATATAAAAAATAAAGACATGCGTTTTTTTCCCCTTAAATAAAAGAAAAACAGGTTATTGGTCGGGGTTAAAGTCGTACGAGGCAAATGGTCAAATTTAAAATGAGTAGAAGACAGTGACCATTCAGGTGGTAAGTGTGACAACCATAGACCATTCAATGTCCAAATATAAATCAAAAAATAAAAATAGATCATTAAATGTGACAATAATAATTTTTTAATTTCGTTTTTAATTTAATTTTTTCTCCTACCACGTTATTGTCTGGATAAGTGTAGTGCTGGAACTTTGGACGGGCCGCCCGCGACCGCCCGAAAAGCCCGAGGATTTGCCCGAGCCCGAACCCGACCCGCCCGAGATTTTGGGGCCGCCCGCCCGAGCCCGAATTTCACCTTGAACGGGCCGCGGGCTTGTATTCGGCGGCCCGGGCCCGGCCGGGCGGG